AGCTTTAGAGGATTAAGAATGCCTTTTGTTTTCACTCATTGACATTATAATGGAAACTGAGCAAAGGAAGGTGTGGTGACAAGACTGATAGTTGTCCATCATAAAGGGGGGGAATAATCCTTTTTTCATCCATTGTCAGAGATCCCGAGCAGCCAATAAGTCAAATCTACAAGGGGTGTGTAAACACAGGGTTATGTAAGTGGGAACTACAGCGCCGACATGTTGGTTTACTGCTGCCAGAACACTGTTTATTAGGCTGTTGAACCTTGATACGCTCAGGGGAAGACTTTGGTCTCACAGACTTTGGTCTCGGGTTAAGGTTAGATGCTTTGATTCCATTGTGTGCACAAATATTTATTTGATGCCATTGTTGTTGGAACATTTTAGTCAGTCCTCACAACTGCAAAGGGCTTGTTGAGGGTTAAGACTTGGTTTTAGGGTTAAGGTTAGAATTATTCTTAGGTTAGGCTTAGATTGACTGTTAGGGGCTAGGGATTGCATTATGCCAGTGAGTGTCCTCAACTACAGAAAGACAACTAGGCGTTTGCATGTCTGTGCACATATTTGTTGTGAAAAGATGAGTATAGTGAAAATATTTAAAAATAATTTTATGAATATCCAGTTACTTTGTCATCACTGTCAGCTGTGATGTGGATATGGTGCAGATTGTGTTTGCAATTTTAATGAAATTGAGTTTCAGCATAGCCATAAAAGAGTCTACATCTAAACAAGTCTGATGCGGCAGCAACAGCAGTGAATACTCATTAGCTCACCAAATGTGTATCGGTCCACAGCTGCAAATAGTTCCAACAAATTCGCTCTTCACTCCTTTTACTGCAGTGTCCAAATTGACTTTGGATTAAGTGCTGTAGACAGGCTGTTGGAAAATTGTAAAATGGACTAACATATTTTTTGTGTGACGTATTGACAGTAGGGAAAATAAAAAAACAACACCAGACTCATCTGTTAAGGCTCAGTTGCCTTAGATTAGTTGCCTTCAGTCAGCTTCAGTACAAACGTCT